AAAAACCCTTCCTGCTCACAGTGAACTCCATGAACTACAGCCAGTCACCAAAATCGTGACCGGTGACCGGCCTTCATTCACGAACACCCTGAACCGTGAWTGGGGSTACGTCACTGCGTSGATGTAAACTGAACCGCCAGGGTCCTGGGTATTGCACAAAGTTGGCCACCCGGTATGGAGGGCAAACCCGGTAAACCTGGGTGCAAGCCCAGGCCCCAACCACGCAGATTGCAAATTTGCACATGGGCCTGACAGGGACGAAACCCAAAGAATTAGGCCCAAAAGGGCATTCCGCTCAACCCACATCTTTTACTACTTTTAGGGGCATTTTGGCACATATTGCAACTTACAAGGGTATTTCGCAACTTATCCGGTTTTTCATGCTATATCACGGCCGTTCACGGGCGCAGGGGCAGCCTCTCTCTCTCTCTCTCTCTCTCTCTCTCTCTCTCTCTCTCTCTCTCTCTCTCTCTTATAGAAGTCCTGCGATTTTCTGGTTGTCCACTTGGCATCTACGGTAGCGGGGTCAGCCTCTTTCTCTCTGTCTGTCTGTCTGTCTGTCTGTCTGTCTGTCTGTCTGTCTGTCTGTCTGTCTGTCTGTCTCTCTCTCTCTCTCTCTCCCCCCCTCTGTGTGTGTGTGCGTGTGTGTGTGTGTCTCTGTGTGAACTTTCTGTCATCATTGTCATCCAATGCACGTCATAGCCTCTTTGAGTCACTGAATGTGGCGGTAGCACGCCGAACGGCCGAAGTGCTTTTCTTGTTCCGTGCACTTTGCGGGCCTCGTGGATTGTGAAAATTGGTGGTGGTGCCTCCGAGAAAACCCCTTCGCTATGTCAGAAGTGCTCTCATTTTGGATACGGTGCAATAACAGAAGTTGGTCATGGCAGTTGTCCTGCATGGGAGCTAATACTACTGGGGTGTACAGCGGGCGGGGGCGGTTGTGGGCGGGAGAGAGAGAGAGAGTGAGGACGTTGAAATCTCTCGTGCACCTCGAGATCCTGCCGGGCTCAAGGCACTTCCCATTGTCCCAGTAGCCGATAGAGCGACTACAGCCAGTCTATCGCACACACAGGAGGGTGTGACACAGCAAACACACACACTGTGACACACACACACACACACACACACACACACACAGACAGTGCCGGACCGAACCGGTGGCATAACGGATTTGTCGAGAAACGATGAAAGCATATGTCGCTTTATTTGCATGCTTGCAACGTGGCTTATTGGACAACATGCATAAACGATGAAAGCATATGTCGCTTTATTTGCATGCTTGCAACGTGGCTTATTAGACAACATGCATAAACGATGAAAGCATATGTCGCTTTATTTGCATGCTTGCAACGTGGCTTATTAGACAACATGCACTAACAGGTCAGTGCTCACTGTGTAATCGGTGTTGCACCATTATTTAGGTACGTTGCTACTTACTTCACAAGCAGAGGATAAGCGAGTGCTAATCAGCCATATTTCGATATCACAGCCCCTAGTGCAGCAGCCGTTATTGGAACTTTTGGAAGCAAAGTGAGTCAGTCACGTCAGTAACCTAAACCCTGGTCCCAGTTCGTCTTATTCCGAAGACAGTTAAGATCATTCGTTCGTCACTGCAGATCATCAGTACGCGTTCTCCCCGTTCACCATCCACCTTTGACAGATCACATCAGACAGTGACCAGCGAGCATTTTGATGATAAAAAAGGTAAAGCAGACTAAATTAATAAAAATCGAGGAAAAGAACAAGATAAGAGTCGAGTTACAATGCCGGGCTCAAAAAAAAAACCAAAAAAAAAACGCAGTTAGTGGACAGGGTAGCGTTCATGCTGGTGCGGTCCGCAGAACTTAGAAAAGAAAGAGACGACTCACCTTACGATACTGGGCGTCTCCTTTCGCACATCCGTTAAAATTGGAACGATACAGAGAAAGAAGATTAGCACGGTGCGCAAGGATGACGGCGTCACGCCTGAACCGCAATACCGGGCTTTAAAAAAAAGGGGAAGAAGAAAAGGAAGAAAAAAAACGTAGTTGAAGCACAAGATAGAGTTCTTGCTGGTCCGATCCAATGCATGTCAGTTCGGACGTACCATAAAGCGTTTCCGTTTTTTAATAAAGAAAGACACCAGATGCAGTCACCACGGGAGAGCAAGGCAAAAAAAAGACCATTTCTCGATTTGTGTGTGTCATCCTTGCGCAGGGGCCATGCTAATCTTCTTCTCTATATCGTACCAATTTTAACGCGGCATTAATGGTGGAAAGCGCCCACGGCAAAACCTTTTAGGTCGTCCTTCGGGACATCCGTTAAATTGGAACGATACAGAGAACCTGGACAAGATTAGCATGGCCCCTGCGCAAGGATGACACGCATAAATCGAGACATGGTCCAAATTGTTTCCCGTTTCTTTCCCGTGGTGAGAGGGTGTGGTTTCCTTAGACATCTCGATCTTAAAAAAATAAAAATAAAAAAAAATTTAGGTAAAGGGCGCCCGAACCTTTCCCGCTTCCCGACAGACCAAACGTTGAGGTCACGATCAGCACCTGTCCGTCATATGATTGGATAGCATGCAGCTGGCCGTCGTGCGCAGTGATCATCCAACCGGCGAAGAAAAATCGCTCGCAAGGAATCATTCATAATCCGAACATCAGATCAGATCAAGATGAGACGACGCAGAACGGATTGGCCGGGACTGCAGAATGACACGTCCGGAGAGCGACATCGAACACGTGAGAAATGTCGCGAAGGATTATTAAGAAAACAAGAAGACGGGTCGACACAGTCACACAGGGCAAGCACAAAACTCGGCAATACACACGACTCTTTTGTCGCATCACTTCAATTGAAATATATTACACATTCAGCGAATACACATTAGAGATTAGAATCTGGCCGATCTGTTCCCCAATTCCTTTGGGATTGCCGCCCCCAGCCTCATCAGCGAGGGGTCGTCCGTCCTTCTCACCCATTACACGCTTCACCATACCCCACGTTCGGTGTCCACGAGAGAGCATCATCCTCGGCGGCGCCCCCTCTCAGAACGCGCGGGCTAATCTATCTTGTCGCCACTGATACTTCAAATTTTCTACAATCATTCGGAGGCATTCTTGTCACTCTTTGATGGTGATCGAAGGCGTGAAGGGGACTCCAGCTCTAAAGTACAGGCGAGCATACGTGGTCCTGGAGTTTTCGCATCTCCCCCCCCCATAGTCTCAACACACACTATGCCGGGTAGGCCCCCTTTCAGATGACAGCCGAGCTGCAGCTGCCCCTGCTTGCTCTACAAGCCTTCCACCGACTGCGTCTAATATCTTGTACCTCGGACATGCCTAGAAACGACAAAAGACAACATACCGAGTTAACCTGAAGAATCGACGAGCTAAACGTGACCAGACACTCGTTGACAGTGGAATCAAGCTCATAAATGTGACCAGGTACGCGCGAGGACAGCGAAATATACCTACATGACGTACACACCAGTCCCTTGTGTGAATGGGACAAACGGATAAGATCACAGCCGGTAATCACATATGCTTATCCGAAACTGATAAGGCCATCAAAGATAATCGGATAAGCATTTTTGAAACGGATAAAGTCATCGCAGATAATGACCGCATAAGAACGCACATCAATTCATAAGGCCGTCCATTTTGACAAGAAGCTAGCCTCACCGGCGGCGGGTGCTGTTAGCAGCATGACATTATCAAGATTTTGCTTCTCAATGAGGAGAACAGTTGAGATAATCCTTTTGCCGCTAAAAATGAAAAAAGGTACAGTCCCGCGAAATCTCTATGCACTCTCAGTCCACGACTCCACACTACCACGCTTCGTCGTCAGTATAAGGTTCGTCTACGTAGTAGTTTTCTGCATCCTCCTCGTACGCCTCTTCGTCCTTGATGTTGTCCTCGTCATCTTCGACGCAGACGATCTCATTCAAGAGCATTTCCTTAATATCTTCGTCTGTTAGTCCCCCCTTGTCAGCCGTGATGGTAATCTGAGATTCTCGACCGTCGATGGAGTTGAGGGTTAACGCTTTCGCTGTAGCTGTTACAAGGCAGTCTTCGTTCACGTGCAGAGTGACGATTGCGGAGGCTTCACCCCTGCTTGCGCGCAGGAATCCCTTCAAGGTAAACTCTCCTAGATAGTGGTTATCCCTGTTCATTCTCGCTTCTCCCTCGTAAACAGGAAAACGCATACAAGTCTGGTTGTCTCTGCTCGTCGCAAGAGTGCAAGTCCCGCTTGCTGGTAGAGCTGAGTGCCGGGGAATCACAATCCGCATTTCCCCCGAGTGCAGGTCGACTCCCAGGCTACGTGGCGTAATCTCCCTCAGCGTCAGATGATCGAGACGAGTGCCTCTCTCTCCCATCAGCTTCGCGGCTAGAATCGCGGCTCCGTGACCCACTGCCTCGTCCGGATTACAAAGCTTCTGCGGCGCTCGACCATTGAAGAAATCCTTCATCATCTCCGACACGAAGGGGATGCGAGTCGACCCTCCCACAAGCAGCACCTTCAAGATGTCTTCTTTGCGCAGATTCGCACTCTCCAACACTCTCTTCACTTTAATCATACACCTATCGAACAGGGGCTGATTAATCCTATTGAAAGTTGTTGTGGAAATATGCTCCTTAAGAGTTAAACGCTCGTAGAAATCCGGTAGCAGCAAAACATATTCATGAACACCCACCATGGAGAGAGTTTCCTTTGCTTCGATGCACTTCTTTCTCAACTCTTTCATTCTTCTTTTATCGGCCCGAACAATTTCCTCCAGTAGTCTATTTTTCTCAGCGAACTCGGTCACTACATAATTGACTAAGTTCTTGTCGAAATTGGCTCCTCCTAGATGCGTATCTCCATCTAACGCCTTCACTACGATGCTGTCCTCACTAATCTCGACAATCGAAACGTCGAGTGTGCCGCCTCCTAGATCGAAGACCATAACGGTTGGACTCCGCTGCGCTTCCCCTCGTTGAAGCTCGCGGATGCTTAGCATATTGTTCTCCACGTAAGCCAGAGCACCTGCTGTGGGCTCGCTGAGCAGACGCACGACTTCAAGTCTCGCTAATCTCCCTGCATTGCGGGTCGCCTCCTTCTGAGCGTCCGTGAAGTAAGCCGGAACAGTGATGACTGCTTTCCTCACCTCGCAGTCCAGATAAGCTTCGGCTAATTTCTTGGCGTGCTTCAGCAGCATGGCGGATATCTCCTCTGGGGAGAACTGCACCGGTTGCCGCCGCCCCTTGAGCTTCGCCACGTGGACCATCGGTTGGCCCTTCGATCTCCCCACGACGGGGAAGCTCCACGCTCGAATATCTTCCTGGGCGTCTCGAGATCCGAACTCCTTCCCCATAATGCGTTTGATCTCGTAGACGTAAGTGGCATCCGCTCCATCGTCAGAAGAGGAGCCCGCTCCATTATCCTCCTCAAGCTTGGCTTTGAGACCGACAGATTTGCCGGTGTTGCTGAACCGCACGACGGATGGAGTCAGCCTGCCCCCCATAGGATTCGGTATGACATCTACCCTGTTGTGCTGCCATACGGCAATACAACATGTGCTTGTGCCCAAGTCTATTCCTATCGCTTTCTCTCCACCCATGGTTAACCTACGATAATTATCTCCCATCTCTCTCTCTCTCTCTCTCTCTCTCTCTCGTGTGTGTGGAGATGTGTGTGTGTTTGTGTGTGTGTGTGCGTGAGTGCGCGCTCGTGTTCGTTTGTGCTAGCACGCACGTGCGTGTGTAGTCTATCCGGCTTGTGGAAACTCTGCCGTGTATCGGTCTGCGAGAGCTGGCGCGATGTCACTACGTCAAGTCTATCTCATAAGCTGTCACCATACTCTTCCTCCACTTAACATAATTTCGAACACGTCCGTAGTCTCGCGTTCGTCCGGAGAATGCAAACGCGAACTCGAAGACTGCAGTTTCCTTACAATGCCCCGTGCCTGATGCGACGTCCTGGGGATAACTGGTGGAAAGCGCCCACGCCAAAACCTTGTGGGAATTTTGAAAAATAAAAATAAAATAACCCTGTGGGCAAAGTTATACAACCTCATAGTGGCGAAACCTTTGTGTTCATTTCACTCCAAACGGGGCAAAAGGTACCGCAAGTACCAAACCCTGTAAAACACTTTCCCGCCATTTTTGCACAGCGGCCGTAACTCGCCCAGCCAGCATGCAAAAATGACGGGAAAAGTCATTTTCGGGCCTGCGACAGCTTTTGCCCCATCGGGAGTGAAATGAATATAACCTTTCGCAAACCTTTTCGGACTGTTTGGTACTATGGGCCCAAACTTCTTCAGCCTGGGTGGAAGGCGCCTTCGCCCCCTGGCCACAGCTCCAGTGGCCTGTTTTTACAGGACAATGAATCTGGCTCTGTTTTTGAATTCATGAACAGGTACGGCCACTCTTGTTCAATTTATGACCAGGTACGGCCCAGTGCCCAAGGCTTACATGAATATAGCAAATAGCCTCGGGTGAACTCCCCAGCCCGAGACATCCCTCTGTAGAAAACCAAAGAACAAAAACACTTCTCAGCAATCTAATTCCTTTTTTTTTTTTTTTTTTTTTTTTGAGATAAACAACCCGTAGGGGTGCCGATAAGAGCAGACACCACTAGCCCCGTCGGGAGGGCTCCATCTATTGGCGGGGAGCAGCACCTGCTGGAAATCGGGTCCAGCGTCCCTGTACATGGTAATCATTTGATTATACAATCGATAATCTGCGAAGAGTTGTAGTGTTTGTGCTTCATCTGTTGCGCAGTGATGTGCAGCATTGATTGCCCTCCTAAGAGGGGATTAACTGCGCATTCACACACACTGTATCTATGCTGGAAAACAAACCCAGCTTCCCTTGTCGTCTAACCAACAGAGCTTCCAAATGGAATCATGAAGATAGGCCACGTGGCCATCCCAACAAAAACCCGTCGTGGCCATCCAATCCAACAAAGTCGCTCGTGAATATATCCATCTTCTATGCAGAGGCATCGATTGCTCCCCGGTACCAGAGGAGGATTAACCTGCTGCATTGTTAACCCTAATATGTCGCAATATACATTACCATGTGAACGAGCCAGCGAGTATTGATCACTTTCCTTCGTAGAGAAGGATGAACCTCCTACAAACTATTCCCAAAGGACCAGAGATGAGCATTTTTGTTTTGAAATGCCACTTCACCCAACCCACCCAAAATTTTCTTAGTACATGCAACCCTTAAGAAAAAAAAAATAAAAAAATTTGAAGCTGATCCAACCCACCCAAGCATTTTTTGAATTTTTCCGCCCACACCCAACCCATCCGCCACTCGTAAAAAAAATTCACCCAGACCCACCTGCACCCGCAAGAAAATCAATGCCCGCCCGCACCCGGGATGTAGTATCTTTTCACCCACAGCCGGCCGCGCCCGCTATTGTCTTCCTGTGTGAGCGCCAGGCCCCTTCACACCATGGAATGATGATGATGTATGTTTGGGCTGCATTGCAACATTGATTGTTCGGATCATTGGTATTTAAGCCTTCCGCTACGCTATCTTGTACTTTGTGAGAGAGGTCGGTTCTTGTTCTGGTATGCACCTTCACGATATGCGACATTTACAGACAATAGGACATTATGACGTGACATGACAAAATCAAACACGCTCCAAGAGAGAGAGAGAGAGAGAGAGAGAGAGAGAGAGAGAGAGAGAGAGAGAGAGAGAGAGAGAGAGAGCTCTGTCTCTCTCACAGGAATCGCCCACGTCT